ATTCCTGCGGAGCTGTGGACTTTCATTCTGCTTCAGTCTCTTTACATTAAGTTCAATGTGGTCTGTTACGTTACTGGTATTCCTGTAGAAGTTGGTGTTAGGTTTATAATAAAACCACTTGATTACTCCTGCTTTTTGAAGCATGCTGTTAGAAAATAATGGAGGCATAAGAATGTCAACCCTCTGGTGTCTTGGGCTGGCATGGGGGGAGCTGCAGAGGGAGAAGAGCTACGCACTTGACTGCTATATAGTGTACTACCTAAAAAGATAATTCCTTGGGTTTTCCAAATACAATGGCATTTGCACTTCAAGGATTTTTTAATGTTTTCTTTAACTGGGAGAAGTGGGACTACTTTTACTTCATCTGCTGTTAACCAACTTCATTAAAAACAATGTTTTACCTTGCAGTAACAACACGTGCCATTTTTGGTATTACGCTTAGGGTTTGTCATAGAATAGAATCGTTTAGGTTGGAAAAGAATAGAATCGTTTAGGTTGGAAAAGAATAGAATCGTTTAGGTTGGAAAAGAATAGAATCGTTTAGGTTGGAAAAGAATAGAATCGTTTAGGTTGGAAAAGAATAGAATCGTTTAGGTTGGAAAAGACCTTTAAGAGCATTGAGTCCAACTGTTAACCTAGCATTGCCAAGTCCACCACTAAACCATGTCCCTAAGCACCACATCTACACATCTTTTAAATACCCCAGGAATTCATGTGCATTTTATAATTGTCTTTTGCAGAAGAGAGTTTTCAGAGGTGAAAATATTTAACAGCTGATCAGTAGCAGGCTTTGCTTTCGTTTGTGGTTCATTAAATGTCATTGCTGTATTATTGTTCAGTTGCAGGAGGACAGAGTTTACTCTCTGTGACAGGCAAAGTTGAACTCTTTGGAAATAACTACTCAAGCAAGACCCTCTTCACATGGGTACTGGTGTGTGGGGGCGGGAACAAGATCGGTACAATCAGTATGCGGTCTTTGGCTGCAGCACCGTTCATCTAATGTGATGCTGCAGCTTGAAATGGGCACCACCCATCCTGCCAAAATAGATGTGCTGGGGTGGGCAAGGGAGCTGCAACAGAAAACTTGGAGTGTTTTTATTTGGGGGAGCTGTGTGTTTTGTGAGATTTCATTCCTGGACCTTGTGTGTCAGTCTGGATTAACACCAATGCTTGCATAAAGGGTAGTGGTACGATTCTGTTGCATAGGAAGGTGGATGGTGAAGAGGGTGGGAGCAGGCTGATCCCTCTGAGACTGTAGCCCTGAAGTAATGGTGTCTCTTCTGTCTGCTGGGGATTGTTGGGTCAGGAAAACACCGTTTGTGTTCTGCCCTATTAATTTTGGCAAGTACATTCAGCGTGCTGTACTGGCCGAGCAGGCTTGGAGGCTGGATGTCTGGCAGGGAGAGTCAGTGGAGCTGCGGTGACAAACCCAGGACTAGATGCTGCTGGGCCTCAGTCGCCTTGAAGGAATGCTGCTGAAAGGCTGAGGGGGAGCCTTGCCTCCCCATCTCTCCTTAAAACTTGCTCCTTGATGGTGTGGTTGGATAACACGCTTTTTGTGCAATATAAGCAGCTGATTTTTCACTTGTGAGTTCCTGTTGTAGCACAGGAATTCCATGGCTTTAACAAAGTACTGAAAAATGATGAATTCATACCAGTAACATACTGCAGTGGTCTTCAAAAGGTGCTCTGGTGGGGGTTCACGCAACTTTGGAAACTGTTTTCTGTGAAGGGGGTGAAAGATTCTGTGAGATGTACTGGCCAGCAGGAAGCTGCGTGGACTCGTAATGGTCTTCTGGCCGCAAAAGTCTGCAAACTGCAGAGCTAAGATAACTTCTCTCCTGAGCTATCTGGAGTGTTTCGTGGGTGTTTTCAGGTTTTTGAGGGTTAGTTTGTTTGAGGAGGGGTGTTAAAAGAAGCAGACGCCTAATTCTTCCCTCCAATAAGTGCTTGTTTCATGAACTTCATTGAAATGCTAACAGTAATGTTTGCCCTTTGTGTTTAAATAAGTATATCAAAATGATTAGGCTTTAGGAAGAATGGGTGTTACCTATTTCATTAACTTATTTCATGTTTTATGTTTATTTCAGCTCTTTAGAGAAGTAAGAATAATGAAGATCTTAAATCATCCAAATATAGGTACCTTGTTTCTTTCACATAATTTCCAACTCTGGAGAAACTTCAGCTTTTTCACTGTTAAAATCGTTGTGGTATGAGTTTAAGATGATTCTGCACTAGGATGTCAATTTCCTGTAAAGCAGCAGTAATAAATACTTTCTCAGAGCTGTGTGTTTTAAAAAAAAAAAAAAGTTTTGGTCCCTTTGCACAAAACTGTTATTTGCATAGCTAACTGATAATTTTGCTCCTTTTGAGTATAGTATTGATTTTGACTGAATTCAGGTTCTCATTAAAAATAAGTATATACCAAAACCAAGAAGTGGTCAAGAAGTTGTTCAGGATTGTACATTTAAATAATGTAGTATGGTTACGGGACTGTCAGCAAACTGACTGATAGCTCACTTGTCACCATGTATGCCAGTTCAGTGCATAAGAACGGCTATTGCTGATGCTCAAATCTGTGGAGGTTCTGCTTAATTTAGTTGCTTTTCCCATGTAACAGAAGCAAAGTATTGTTCCTTGAGAAAATGTTCTCTATGAGTTGACCAAATGTGTTACAGTATCTTCCGTTTAGGAACATTAGAAAAAGCTTTAGACTAATAGTCTGATATTGTCAAGCAGCCAGCAAATAGGTTTGGTTTTTTTCTCTGACAGAACTCTCTATGGGGTTAATATAATACTTCTGCAACTAGTTAACTGATTAATAAATGGCTTTCTTTTCTAGTGAAGCTATTTGAAGTCATTGAAACTGAAAAAACTCTCTATTTAATAATGGAATATGCAAGTGGGGGTAAGTACCTTTCTGCTGTGATGACACATGTAAACAAATTGCCAAGTGGGACAAAGCACTCATTTTCTTTCAAGTTTTGCTTTCTTTTTCAACAAATATTAATGTCATGGTAGTGTAAAATCTTAAGCAAAATCTTTAATATTCTCTGGGACTTTTTTGGGCAACATAATTATAACTTGTAAAACCAGCTTCTGAAATTATTGCAACTTAGTAACATTTGCTTTGTTTTCACAACTCAAATTTAATGGCAATCTTTATTCAGCCATCGATTGTTCCTGTCCATAACAAATGCCAACCTTCTCAATTTATTGTATTCAGCTTCCTACCTCTGGTGTCCTGTTTTGTATCAGATATTTGGTAAAAACATGTTCGGATGAAACACTTCGTGTTTCTTTAACTGTTGCTTTCAATAGCACGAGTACTGCATCTTCTGTTTTTTAGATGTTGATGACATTTGATGTATCTTAATCACAGACCTTCTACTGTCAAGAATTGTTAGGCTTAGCCTTATGCCATTTTAGGAGGAACTTAAACATTTATTCCTGATTGCAGGGGGCGGGGGGAAGCACACATCATGCAAGGTCAGATATTTTCACCAGAGGTAGAATTAAGGTATTTAGTCTTAAGTTATTCCTTGGTGGCTAAAACCTAATAGCACTCAGTTTGTCAGTGTGACCCTTTAGCATCAGCAGCTGGGAATCTCAAATAGTTGAGGCTTTTCTTTAGTTTTGGGAGGGAGATAGACTTCTTTTCAGAGAAAATCAGCATTGAATTCTGACTCTGACTTTAGATTATGTGAAGTTTAATGAATTACTATAAATCAGGTAATGATTCTCTACCTGCCTGTGTTTTCTTCTAGCAGCTCCCTAAATGCTCAGCCAAGGTTTAATTAAAATATTGGTTAGTAAAGGTGTGTTTGGAGGTATCTCTGTGGTGTTTGATGGTACTAGACTTAAAAGTGAAGTCCTGTTGCCATCTAGTGATTAACTTCTAGGTGGTAGAAGGGCCAGTGGCTCTCTGAAGCAGTGAGGATCTTTCTTAGGGTAATGGAGAAATATATACTGTACTGGCCTAAAAGGCTGTCAGGAGCACCCTTTGCATGTGCTGTGTTGTGCAAAACAGGAATGGCTGGTAATCTCAGTGGCAGGCATCAATTTCCCCTCTTTCCTCTTTATCAAGATACTGGTCATGCATGATGCATATGAACTCTGTGGCTGCAGGATGAAAGAAGCTATTGCTACAACTGCAACAGTTTGCATAAATTGAGGATAATTCTTTCTCTGGTGTCATTTTACCTGAATTGTGAAGAAGTGTTCAGGTTTGTTCCTTCAAGGTTTTTGAAGAAACAGCTGTGAGAGTTATCAGAGTTGAGTGTTATATAGTACACTCCAGAGGGAGGTAACGCCATTTTGTAGAAAATCCTGACATTCCCTCAGATTGCTCAGTTGTTGCTTTTCTTGCTGTATGACTCTGGGGTTTTTATTCAAATTTGGTGCAGTTGCTTCTTTTCAAAAATAAATGTGAAGTTGCTCAGCTCTTCCCTTGTGAGGTGGCTATCTACAAAACGGTGTTTTCTTGCTCAGTAGAAAATATTTAGATATTTGATCCACTTCTAAAGTTTTTACTAATTTTACATATTAGCGAAGAATTTTTAAAATTGCATACTAGTCTGTGTTTGTAGGAGTTCTTATGTATGTGACTATTGGTTTTTAGTAAAGAAAATCTCCCATGCTCTTACAAATGTCAGTGTTTCACAGGCCAGTTGGCTGCACCTGAAGCTCAATGTTGTAGTCTGTATTGATGTGCTATAAAATGACTGGATTGATTAAAGGGGAAAAAAACCCAAAACACAACAGATCTTTAGTACTGCTTTAGTAATCTCCTTTGGTCATCCACAAGCATACGACATTGAGCTTGTTCAAGAGTAATCCTTCTCACTGTATCTTACAGATCTGATGGTTATGTGATGGATTATGTCAATGTGTCCTGCTATGCTCATTATTGTGACCTTCCTTGTGGGTACTTCTTCCAAGCCTAGGTCAAAGCTAAGATTTCTGATTTTGGTTAGAACACTCTTATACACATGCACAAAGAAAAATTCTAGTGCTGGTATGACAACATTTACAAATATCATTAGAAGTTCTCATATATGAAGCTTTTTTTTGTGGAGCAAAAGGAACTCTTGTGAGAAGATCTGTGAAGGGGTACATGTCACCTTTATTTACAAAACAGAAGTATGCTGCTCAGTTTCTATCATAAATAATTGGAAGGAAATGTTTGGGTTTTTTCTGCCCAGTCATTAAGTCTTATTATTTTCTTGTGTAAGAGATGATGGTGTAGTAAATTGCATAGCAGTTGTGCCTTGTTCTCTTGAGCTAACCTGTAATCATAAATGTGAAGTACAGTCATTCCAGTGAAACTGCTGTGGGCAACTGCTAGAGAGGAATCTCTAGATTCTGAGATTGGCATTAATGTATCTCATTATTGAATTGTAGGGGAAGTGTTTGACTATCTGGTTGCACATGGAAGAATGAAGGAAAAAGAGGCTAGAGCTAAATTTAGACAGGTATGTATAATAGTCCTATACATCAGCTTCCCCCCCCCCCCCCTCCCCCCCCCCTTTTTTTTTTTTAGTGCTGAAATAAGTAAAATGGCTGTCCTTTGCATTTGACTTCTAGCAATGTTCAGCATGTTGTGGACTTGTAGCCCCAAGTGAGAAAGAACTTGGGTTACAGTAGTACTTTGAAGGGGTTAGTAGTCCATTCAGTGGTGCTAGTTTCCTTAGTGCTGTGTGCCAGGGTGTTCAGGAGTGCCAGAACACAGTGACTGCTTGATTTGGAAGTGTATCTCTTCCAAAATTCATTTCCTCTGGGTTGATATCATATATACTTAGTTCAGTTAGTCTGTAATGTTTTGGAAGTTACTCAAATGTAACAGGCAACAAACAGGCCGGTTTGAAAACACAAGGCAGTGCATGTAACAGGCATCCGTTCACGTCCATCCACTTACATGAAAAGATGCAGTTTAATAGTTGTTCTAAAAAGTCATGGAAAAGTAATTTCTAGCTTGTTAGTTTAGCTTGCTTTAGGATGGATAAACTAGCCCTGCAAAGATGTTGGGATTTCATTGATCTGTAAAAAGCATTTCCATTCTACAGTAAGGCAGTATTGAACATAAGCAAATATTTTTGCATAACTAATTAAAATCCAAATCTCTGCTCTTGTAGCATCTAGAGTTTCACTGGCAGATCTGACTGGTCTGATATACTTTGTTTTCTGCTCTTGTGCAGAAATTTGTAAATGCCTATGTTATTTCCATCCTTTTGGTCACTTGGATAACCTAGACAATGTTGTGAAAAGTAATAAATATCAAAATTACGCTCCTGCTTAATGATACTTTAAAATAACGAATAGGGACAAGAGTGTATTATTGAACAATATGTAGGGGTTTTAAACCAGTGAATTGTAGCAATGCTGTGACAGTCAGTTTCACTGTTGGAAGGGGAGGACCCAATAGCTTCACTTCTTAAGTGTAGCCATACAAAAGTAGAAGAAATTTGATACAGTATATGAGACTTCCAGGAAATTGATTAATGACTTTCACAAAATGCTTTGTAAAGAAAACTTTTACTAACTAGCAAACTGTGCCATGACTGTTTGCTCCCTCTGTCTTGTAAGTAAGAATTGTGTGAAAGCAATATAAACAATAAGCTCAAAAGTAGCCATGAAAGTAAAGAAAAATAGAAATGTATTTAACCCAACATAAGGAGGCAAAAAAAGCATTTCTGTGAAATCCTTGTTCCTTTGTTTTCTCTCATGTCTTTAAAATCTTGTATTTACTCTCTTTAATCTTTAAAAACAAACCAACCAAAAAGCCCCCCCAAAAACCACTCAACACCAAAACCCAACCAACCAAAAGAACCTCAAAAAAGCAGCTGTAGACTTCATATCCCCAGAAGTGATTTCTGATTACTGGAGTTATACAGCTTGACAGTAAGGAAAATTTTTCTTCCTCTTTAAGAAAATCTTCCATGTCTTTTTAAAGCTGCTTCCCTCCCTTTCATATTCTGGCAGGTAGAGAACTTTCCTTTGTGACTGAGGGTTTCTGGTATGTGTTTCTGTGCTGTGTTGGAGTAGATGCGATGGGCTGTGGAGCAGTCGTTCCCTCTTCAGCCGTCTCTTCTAAATCCCAGACTATTGCCTTGCTCTTTGTAATGTCACTTGAAGAGCTTCAGAGTAACTTGAGAGGATTTGCTGTTCTCTCTTAGATGTGAATGTTGAAAACTTCTACTGGTGTGATTCTCTGCTGTTTGTCGTCAGTTTCTTTAATCAGGAGTTGTGTGGAAAAAGATCTTGCAGTAATTCCAGTGAAATTGTGTGTTTGTTCAACGGTTACCAAGTTTTTTTCTAACAATTCAACTCCTCTTTAAGTGAAAACTTGTGGAAACAAGTCAAACATGTTTTATAGGTACACTTAGTGCTTAATTTTATTGGATAATGTGGGTAGTACAGGATATATGTAACTTCATTTTTCAAAAATAAATGTGAAGAGAATTCAAAAGATAGTTACCCAGCTCAGCGGGTGACTATTTGACCCATCAAGAGTTGATTTTATGTACTTCAGATTCTCAGCTTGATTTTTCTTTTTTTGTACTTCAGCAGACTAAGTGCTGTTTGTAAAGATATATAGATGGCCTCTCTTGAATCCACTGAAATACACAGAAATATGTTTTTAGTTTCTCCTTATAAGTCTTGTTTCCTGGCACAGGCAGCTGTGCTCTGTCCTCCCTCAACAGCTGGCTTCCCAGCTACCGAGCTCAACCAATTTTAGAGGACCTTGATCTCAGAGAGGAGGTTCTTGAGAGCTTCAAAAGCATGAGCACCTGGAAAAAAAAAAAAAAAGAGAGAAGCCTAGTAATAACCTGAGGAGAGAAACTATAGCACGAGCATATTGTACTTTGCTAGAGAGAAGAGCATGCATGCAGGACCGAAGTCAGGAAACTTTGATCAGTGCTTGGCATTTATTAGATACTAGGACTCTTGACTGTGGGGCAGTGTCAAAGGAAACTACATCTTGCTGGGTTTGCAGGACATAAACTATTCATTTCACCTTACTATAGTGCCAGAATAGCTTTGTATAACTTTTAGCCATTGTTGGAGGGAAATGCTCTCTGTAGACCTTTTATCTGATTCAGTGCAGCTGTTCTTATGTTAGATAGGGACTTATGACATAATAGCAATTTTTTTTTTTTTTTAAATTCATTAACTGGTTTAACAGACGGTGGCTCTCTTCAAACTGAAGAAACAGTTGTGCCATGGTATTGAGCTTAGTTCTTATAATAGGTTGTATTATATCTTGTTTTCCGATCATGTTTCTTCTTTCAGTAGATGTGATTTCTGGATCAAACAGTTGTGTTTTATCTGAGGAGGCAGTTCCTGTCTCACAGGCAAAGAGCAGAATTTGGTAATTCTCCCCTCTTCGCTTGTTAAAAAAAATAACTTTTTTGTCCATTTTGTTAGGCATACTTAAGGTTTTTAGCAGGAAAAAAAACAATGTAAAAGGCAGTGATGACATTATTCCAGTCACGCTTGACAAGGAACACAGGAGAGGGTACAAACACTACAAATACAGCCGTGCTCTACAGTTCTCCATTTCAAGCTCCTTTTGTGCAGCCATGTGTGAGAAATTCAAATCCAGAACGTTTTGCATTCTTAATGTCACCTCATTTTTCTTCCCCTGTTACAGGCTTCCAGGCGGTTCTGGTTCAATCTTACCATTCTTTTTCCACAGAAAAATCTGCCCATCTCTATAAGAATTAATGCAAAAAATGGGAAGCCAAGACTCAGGGCAGGGGGTCTCCCAAAATTCATGTGTATTACTTCCCTCTCTTCCTCTACTGCAGCCGATTAGATCTGGCCTTCTTCAGTCTTCCCACTGTTTCCCTGCTGAAGCAGTTTAGAATTTTAATGCTGGTAGATGTTAGGACAAATCTTGGAAAATAAAAATAAATAAATAAATAATCCACAAAATACATCTTACTTGTATGTTCTGGTTAACAAAACAGTCTTGGCAGTGTGGATGGGACCTTGAGAGGTCATTTATCTATCCTTTTGTCATGTAATCCTTAAGAAGGATGGGTTGTCTGCCTAGAGGTAACTTGTTCTAACTTGTTCTTTAAAACCTATGATTATACAGATTTTTTTGAAATCCCTCCCAAGAAATGTATTTCAGTGCTCCAGTTGTTACCTCTAGTAAAAAGGTCTGCTGTTTCTTCTCCTCTTCTCCCCACCTGCCAAGCGTCAGCAAATTTCTCACACTCAAATAGGTTGGGAGTGAGGGGGCTGTCAATGGAAACAGTGTTGGAAGGTGGAAGACAAGGGAGTCAATCCCATGCAGCCATGCTTTGTGCTGTTTTTCATTCAGTTTTGACTGCTGTTCTTCAATTATTAATGTCATTCACACTGCATTATTTCCCTCCCATTTAGATTGGACTCACTTCTGCAGTCTTTGTGCTATCCTGTTGCAATGCAGAGTAGTTCAAAAGCATCTCCAAAGGAAGCTACTGATTGATCATCTGCTAGACCTTCCACTTGTAGATAGTCAGAGTAAAAGCAGTTCAGGAGCGAGTGGTATAGTGCTGTGTCTCTGCAATCCCAAGTAAGGCTTGAGGTGTTTGTCATGCTGTCAGCCTTGGAAGCACCTGCATAGTGAGCTCGTGACTGGCGCTAAAGTAATGGTAGCAGAGAGGAAAGGAAGGAAAACCAAGAAGATGGTAGAAGTGGTGGCATGGGAGCACTTTGGAGATTTCAGTAACTGTAAAAAGCTGAACTTGGAGTCTGAAAGAGGGAGCCAATACGTAAAGGAACAAGTGAAAACAGAATGGAA